TCGATTCTCTCAGACAAACTCCGGAGGATCCAAGACCGTATCCTAAATTTTTATTTATTTTTTATTTCCCGTTCTAGTAATTTAAAAGCAGACTGTTTAGCCCGTTCTGCACATACTCGAGCTTTAGATTTTTTGTATGTAAGTAACTTACCGCCGAATTGGATTACCAATTCTAGTGGCGACTTTTGATTTATAGTTTGGTTGACAAAAAAAAAAAGACTAAGCACTTATAACAAATTATTGTACATATACAATTTATAATGTATAAAGAAAAAGAAATTGCTTACTGAATATGAACTGACTAAACTTATATAAGTTGTATACATTATGTGAGTTACATATTGTTGAATAACCTTACTATTATATGTTTTCATATTTTCTCTATTCATATTAAAACTATGAATTTAGTATCATATTAAAAATTCATATTAAAATGTATTTATAAAATATAAGGATAATAAAATTAGACTATGACTATAATAACTTAATATGTTATTTTTCAGTTATATTTTAGTAAATGGTTTTTTGATGTAGTTATTGATAATAATTTAATTTTTCTTTGTTAGAGCGCTTTAATACATTTTAATAATGAGATTTAATTGTTCATAAATTACAAATTATCATTATCTGGTCGGTTTTTTTGTCATGTAATAAATGTAAGAACTTGATTTTGAGTCAATTTGGTCTTTTAATTTTCATCTAAACTTTGTGCTTCTAACGCTAATTTTTTTTATATAGCGCTTATAATATATTGTTTCATTCTTACTGAAAAATCAATTGAACTCGATCTTTGTAGTTACACAATTAAGACTAAATCATATATTTAAAATCAAATGAATTTTATCTTCTAACTGTATCATTATTTTTAGGGTTAATTAGCTTAATATTAGTTTAGGGATAGATAATTAGAAAATTAACATATACATAATGAGATTTAAGTATGGGACAATTACAAAAATGTCACACTTTAAAGACACTTTTACAAGCGTGCCACTCTCCCCTTCACTTTTACATTAATGTCACCTTTTATTGACAAAAGGACAAATATGTCCATTTTTTCTCTTTTTTTTT